CCCTCCCTCTCTCTCTCTCTCTCTCTCTCTCTCTCTCTTTCCTTCTTTCTTTTGTAATTTTGTAATCACAAGAACATCAAGTAAAGGTCCATATTTTCTAGGGCTGGGATCAGGGTTGAGGTAAGCAGGGAACCATAGTTGCTGCTCTGGGTAGCCTGGGTCTGAGCTCTATAAAGACCCCTCTGACCAGTGGCCAACAAGGGATTAGGCCACCAAACCTGGCTCCCACAGGTTTCTATTAATAACAAGCACCAAGGAAGTGTGCCCTGGGTGATGGTGCAGGCTCACATATTCAGAAAACCACCTGAGCTCAGGATCTTCTTCCTCCCTCAACTCCTTCTGGCCTAGCCGCCCCCGGCCCACCCATCTGGGACTCTGACTTTCTGAGGTGGTGGCCTGAATACTTAGACTTCCTTGGCAGTCAACAGGGTTTACTTTCATGGGGCTTTGAAAGCTGCCCAAAGAACCTTGAATTGAAACATGAAACCTGTGCTAATTCCTATATGAGATCAGACAAGCCAGTTATCTCTCAATGTCTCAACTTCCTTATAGGTAAAACTGGAGATAATAATGTCTCTTCATTTTATGGGGATGTTGTGAGGATAAAATAAGCTGGTATACAAAAAAGCACTTTAAAAAAGATCAAGAGATATATAAGCACAATTTGAGACATTACTTACTATTTTTATTGGGAGTAGGAGGAGTCTCATGATTTCTTTGGGAAAGCGTGACCTTTGGAACAGACAAACAGGAATGAATTCTGGTTTTGCAACATACATAATTTGTGGTTTTGATAAGTCACAAAAATCTCTCTGAGCCTCGTGAGTAAAATGGTGTCAATGATACTTAACTTGAAGGATTGTTGCCAAAATTAGAGGTTACATGTATAAAGAAGTCCCTACCAGGTACCTGGTGCACAGTAGGTGCTCTCTATGTAGTAGCTGTCATTACTGCTATTATAGGTAATAACCATAGCAACAGAGATAACATGTGCTCATTCTGAACCTTTTCTCTCACTTTGAGAGAGTCAGACTCCTCTGTCCTGCCAGCAGGTGATAAAGGCATAGGCTCCTTGTTAGATTCCTGGGAGGGGAAGAAGGAGCGGCATGTCTCCTGATTTTTACCACAGGAGTGTGTAACTCATTCCGGTTTGCCCGGGACTGCCTTAGTCTTAGCACTGAAAGTTTCATGTGCCAGGAACTCCCTTGGTCCCAGGCAAACTGGGATGGTTGGCTACTCCACTCACTACCAGCTGGTACCAATCTAACCCCTAAGCCAGTTTCCAGTGGCTAGATTAAGAGTATTAAGATGTGTGCTAGAAATCTGGAAGGACCCAGGAATATTAGCTCAAAGAGCCATCTTAAGTCCTTTTAGACTAAGGCAGGATCTGAATATATAAGTGAAAATTTTAAAAATTAGCTCTGGCCTTAAAATTCATTATGTTAGGTATAAGAAACAAAAAAATCAATTATGAAGGCCACATATTGTATGATTCCATTTACGAAGTGTTCAGAACAGGCGAATCTATAGAAACTGAAAGTAGATTATTGGTTGCCTAGGGTGGGAGATAGGGAAGGTGGTGGGGAGGGAGGAGATGGGGAGTGACTGCTAATGGGTACAGAGTTTCTTTTGGGATCTTGAAGATGTTCTAAAATTGATTGTGGTGATGGCTACACAACTCTGTAAATATATTAAAAACCATTGAATTGTACATTTTAGATGCATAACTGTATATTTTATTTTCCATTTTTTTTAAGAGATGGGGTCTCACTATATTGCCCATGCTGGAGTACAGTGGCTATTCACAGGGATGATCATTGCACACTACAGCCTCGAACTCCTGGGCTGGAGCAATCCTCCTGTCTCAGCCTCCCAAGTCTCCGGGACTACAGGTGTGTGCCACCAAGCCTGGCTGAATTATTCTTAATCCTCATCTTGGGAAATCTTCAGTGGCATAAAAATAATGTTTCTCCTAGGCCAGGAAGTAGCATCCCCATTTCACAGGCGAGAAGAGCAAGGCCCAGAAGCAGAATGTAACAGGGGCTTTTGCTCAGCTCTGTAGAGGAGGCCAGTGGAACGTCAGGGAGGAGGGGAAGAAGGGAGAGGAAAGGCTGGTGAGCCAGCAGTTACAAAAGAGACTCATCCTTATCTTGGCAATACAAACGAGGAGGAAATGAATGCTATATTGAGGCCTACCCAAAGTGCAACAGAAGGGCAGGAGGAGAAGTTTTGGGAAGTTGTGAAGGGTAAGTGGGCAAGGCCTTCCAGGCAGAGGAAACAGCATGGGCACGGTGGTATAGGACTGAGCTATGACAGTCGTGGCTTGTTAGAGACAAGCAGGTGGATTGGGGAGGCTGGAGTGTGGGGTGTGAGGAGGGCTGGAGAGGATTTGGGCCAGATTGTGGAGAGCACTGGACACAGTCTTTGCTCATGAGTTTGATCTATTTCTGTGGACGCTGGGGGCCTGGAGAGGATTTTTAGGTAGTGATTCTCAGATCTGCATAGGGTTTCAGAAGCGATTTTTCAAGGTGAGAGGTGGCAAGTCTTGCATGAAGTCACTGAGCCTGTTAGTGGCCAGCTGGGGCTCAGCTGCGTGGGGCTCGGCTGCCTTGGCGGAAGATCTGACCTGCACCATTGGTGCCTGCTTTCTTCCCTTTCCTCTCTTTTTTTCCTCCTTTCCACTTGTCTTCTCCAATTCTTCCTCCACCCTTTTCCCTTGCTTCCTTTCCCCTTGTCCCCTTCCTGAGCCTTGGGTCTGCCTGGGGTGTTCCCACAGGTTTTGTTGAGCTCTGCTGCAGACCCAGGCAGTTCTGATATTTGCTTTTCTTGCTTTTCAGTGCAGCCCCAATAGAGGGAGGGAAATGGGCAGAAAGCTTCTCTTCCATCTTCTCCAGTGAGTCTGGGCCCAAGAAGGCAGGGAAGAGAGAAAGCAAGGCAAGGATAGGCTTATGGAAAAAGCAGCAACAAGCCCACAGCTGCTGTGGAGCCCAGAGGGGAGGGGTTCTCTTGGGGATGGGGGTGTGTGCATGGGGGAGGCGCACTCTGGCCTGTTCAGAGCTACTTCAAGGACATGCCCTGTTAATTCACAGCTCTGTTCCTGAAAGCTTGCCCAGGAGAACCAGGCCTGGTGAGAGGCCCTGAGGGGGTGAATACAAAGAGCATTTAGAAGAGGCTTGCCTGACCCAAGCTGCAGCCAAGACAGAAGTCTGTGGGTCAAACAAAACGTGGATTCTGCCACTGATTCTCAAGTAGGAGGGCCTCAACATTTATTAAGCACCTCTGAGATAGGCACAAAGGCCCTGGGGTACAAAGATAAAAAGCCACAGTCCATGCCTGCTTTCTTCCCTTTTCTTTCTTTGTCCCTCCTTTTCTCCATTTGCTACCGCCTCAGAAACACAGACCGAGAACACATCTGCTAGGGCTGCAGTGAGAGGTCACCAATAAGTGATGTAGCCATACAGTGCACAGACCACTCACATAGTGTAGCTCAGGAAGGGGAAACAAAGGAGGGTGGCGGGTTTCTAGCTCTGCTGGTCCTTGCCTTGAACTCCGGTTTTCTCAACATGGAGATCTGTCCTGTACTTTGAGAATGCTTAAGGATCACTTCGGAATGCTTATTAAAATATTATAGATTCCCTGTCAGACCCCAGCTTTAGTGAATCAGAATGGCCAGGGTGGGGCCCCAAATATGCATTTCATACCCACCCGCTCCCTGGGGCAATTTTAAGGTTAGCAGGCTGCAAACCATAGTTTGAGGAGTACTGCTTAATAGGGAGATAATAACTCGCTTTCGAGGTAGGTCAGGCGACCGATTCAAGATCTAACGAGGTAACATGCGTCAAAGAGCCTCGTAAACTTGAGAGTAATTCGATTCTTTGCAAATAATAGCAATGGAATAATCCGAATACTCCAAATAATCATAATAGTAAAGGAACTGGAGAGCGCACCGGAAACGCGGCGCACTGCGAGCGAGCCGGTGCCACCATCCCGTCCACTCCGGCGTAGTCGGCGCCACTGTCCCTTTAAGGCCGCTCTTCCACCGCGGTCTCGCCTCCCGCGGGCTCACAGCCCGGCCCGCGGCGCTTGCGTACGGAGCTTCCCGGCGGGGCGGTCGCGGCGGCGCGACGCCGGCGCTTGTTGCGTGCGCGCCCGGCTCCGCCCCTTCCCCGCCCCTTCCCCTCCGCGGGGCCTCCCCCGCCCGCTCGATACAGCTGGGCCAGTGACGCGGGCGCCGCCGCCGCCGCCGCAGCGTTCCATTCTCCGAAGCCGGCGACAGCCTCGCCGCCTCCCTCCCTCACTCCCGCCCGCTTCCTCCTCCTGCAGCGCCGGCCAGCGCGAGGCAGACAAGGGCACGCGGGGCCTCGCCTAGACCCGAAAGGGCTGCAGGCGCGCGCAGGCGGCGGAGCGGATCCGGCGGCGTGGAAGCTGCTGGCGCCCCCCTCCCGGAGGTCTCCGCCTGCTACCCGGGTGAGTTGTCACGGCGGCCGGGGGGCGACCGGGCCGGCATTGTGTCAGTTGCGCGTCCGGCGGCTGTCAGGGGCGCGGGATAAGTGCGCACTGCCCGGGAGGGACGCTGGCCGGAACCTGGGCCGGCTCCGGCTGCTCCCTGCGCTTCTCCGCGCCGGCCCGCTGTCACCCGGCCGCGAGCTGCGCCGCCAGGAGCCCCGCGCTGGCGTGGCCCGGCCCGGTAGGACTGCTGGGCGGCGGTGTCGGCTGTGCCCGGGCCGGGGGAGGACGGCTGGTTTGCGTCCGGGAACTTCGTGACCCGCAGTCCGGGGCGCGCTATCCTGCGTCGCTGCCCAGACAGCGGGGAGAGGCAGACACTTTGCGGAGTCGGTGCAGAGGAGGTAGGCAGAGGCCCTCTTTATTCCTGTTATTCTTTCAAGCCGAGTAAAGCTGCAGGTTTTGCGCTGGGGCAGGGCTGGCTTAGCAGAGGTGGATTTCCTGAGGAAGTCTTGGAGCCTTCGTGTGTGCGTGCTTGTGTGTGCACGGGAGCTTTCTGGAGCCCCCTCGCCTGGTCTGCTCTTTAATCTCAACAACTTTTCCTATTAACTGGGCTGAAACTCACCGAAATCGCTTCTTTTTAAAAAAGCGTGTACGTACATGTAGACTTTCGTTTTTACGCCTTGTTTTTAGAGCCTCCAGATATTAATGTGGGTTTGACTTTTCCCGCAGCTGAAGTGAAATAAGTTACCTGTAACCGGTTTGGGGCGGGGGCGGAGGTGGAGAGGGTGGGCGAAATGATTATGAGGACAGCAAGACCCAGGAGAAAAGAGGCGTCAAAATTAAATCTTTGGTTGGTTAGAGGGAAGTTCGGGTCTGGGCAGAGGCCTAATGCTGTTGTTCCCACAGAATTTTTTTCTCTGTGGCAGGCAACATGCTGGGCTTTGTTACTCTTGCTAACAGGGATTCTGTGTACTCTGTACAGAGGTGTAGTAAGATTACCCGGTTCAGTTAGACCGTAGATATTTACTCCCTTTCCAGATCTACACAGGATTGTGTCTTTCTAACCTTTGCAGTGGCTAATTCATTTCTTGCTGTTTTCATTCCTCTGGTGTAAAAAATACATATGAATGATGCATACACACACCTTTTCTGTTTTGGGAATTCCACGCCCTAATTGTCACCATCCACTGGAAGCTAGTAGAGACATGTGCTTGGCACTGAATTCTGAGTTTTCTGAGCTTTGCAGTTTTAGCCAAATGCCTATTCAACCAGAAATGAAACTGTTCACAGAATTTGGGGGGTATGTATGCACTTCAGTAAAGGAGGTATTTAATAAAGCAACAACAATAGCAATAATATGGAAGAATTCTTGAGAACTTATTGTGTACCAAGCTTTGTGCTAAGAGCTTTCTTTTTTTTTTCTTTTTTGTTTGGGAGACAGAGTCTCACTTTGTCACCCCTCCCAGAGTACAGTGGCATCATCCTAGCTCACTTCAACCTCAAACTCCTGGGTTCAAGCAATCCTCTTGCCTCAGCCTCTGGAGTAGCTGGGACTACAGGAGTGCACCACCATGCTCAGCTAATTTTTTCTGTTGTAGAGATGAGGTCTCGCTTTTGCTCAGGCTGGTCTCAAACTCCTGACCTCAAGCAATCCTCCCTCCCAAAGTGCTAAGATTACAGGTGTGAGCCACTGGGCCTGGCCACTTTCTTGATTTCATTTAATAGCAGACTTTCGAGGTATATGTTGTTACTATCTTCATTTTTCTAGTTGAGACCAAAGCCAGACAAATTAAATAACCTGCCCAGGTCACAAAAGTAGCTCATGGTGGAGCCCACATTCTGATTATATTGCTAGATTATATTGCTAGTTTCTAGTTTGTTTACCTTTTGGTAAAATTGAAACTGGAGTCTTCCTTTTTTTTTTTTTTTTTTTGAGACAATGTCTTTTTCTGTCACCCTGGCTAGAGTGCCGTGGCATCAGCTTAGCTCACAGAAACCTCAAACTCCTGGGCTCAAGCCACGCTCCTGCCTCAGCCTGTAGCTGGGACTACAGGCGAGCGCCACCATGCCTGGCTAATTTTTTCTACTTTTAGTAGAGACGGGGTCTCGCTCTTGTCAGGCTGGTCTCAAACCCCTGACCTCAAGCAATCGTCCCGCCTCTGCCTCCCAGAGTAGAGTGCTAGGATTACAGGCGTAGGCCGGGCTGAAACTGGAGTCTTTCCAGAACCTTTTCAAAGCACTACTTCAGGCTGTTTCTTAGACCATGAGCATTCCTAACTCTTTCTCCAAGGTTCACACTTACGATACGTTTGCATAACATTTGTTTATTTCATTCAGTACTCAAAAGTATTTATGTGATAATGTATATCAGGCACTGTGCTAGGTACTGGGGACACTGCAATGAATAAGACAGAATCCAGCCATGCTCTCATGGAGCTCACAGTCTTTAAGGCAGTTTATTTTGGTTTATGTTGTTAGCTTCCATTAATGGTCATTTGCTGCTTAAGGACCTTTTGCCCCATAAATTAAACAGAGGACAGTATTATTTTGAGGCCAGATGGATAGGACTTCTTGTCTACAATGATTTTTTTGGATACTTCAGTAGAAATGGCAGATGAAACAAATCTTCACCTACACCTAGACAAGGACAGGTCCCAGGATGCTCAGTGGGAGTGAACTCACTGTCAAATGGCAGAGTTTAACTTCTTGGCTGAGGCCTGCCTTCTCAAAGCCTAGACTTTGGTTAGACAGAAGAGAGAGAAAGGTGGAATGAGGTGTCACAGATGCAGGCTGGCAGATGAAGAGACCTCAGCACTTTGGTTTCCTGGCCATTCTCTGGGGTGTGGTGATTGAACTTGTGCTCTTATGTAATGATGCATCTTATGGTAGGGGATTTCCTCCTTTGCTGTTGCTGGGGTAGCAATTCCTACAGCAACCCTCCCCCTACACACATACACACACACACACACACACACACATACACATACACACATGCATGCACACACACCCCCAAAGAAAATAATTTACCTGGATTCTTGAAAGTAAGAACTTTCAAGATTGTTGTGGCTAGGCATTGTTTCACTCCCTCTATGGTTGTCCATCTTCCATAAAAACTCGCCTTTCGCTTCACATCTTGTGCTCTTTTTCCATATCCCTTAACTCTTCAGACAACCAGGTTACTACTGTTATCGTCCCTCTATAGGCCGGGAGAAACAACAACATCTTAGAAAAAAAATAGTGAGGTGCGTAATCTTCCTGATTTCAGTACCAAACAAATGAACTGGAGAGAATGATGCGGAATCACTTGCCAGCAGAGAGGGAAAGCCAGAGAGCACATGTGCTTGTCTTTCCCTTCAAGTTCCCCATTGACCAAGGGACAATTCACAAGTGGTGGTGGCACAGCCCACCTGCAGGCCTGAATGTCAGCAGATCCACCGGGCCCAGGTTGTGTAATTGCCATACGTGAAGCATTTTATTGAGCGCTTGAATTGACATGCGATCTTCTAGTAGAAGTTGACAAGCAGGATTCATTTTCCCTCTTCTATCTGCCTGGATACTGGGGAAGTCTTGTTTAGGGGGCATTCCATCAAGCAGTAGGAGAAAGATGAGAAGTAGCAAATAGAGGAAGGAGCCCTGTGTCTTGTCTTTTTTCTTTTTTTAACTTTGAGAGCAAACACTGCTTTGTTGCAGACTTGAGTGTTGAGGATTAGGACATTTGGGTTAAGAGTGGTAAGCATTGGGGCAAATGCATATGTGATGATAGAGACCTTTCCCCTGGTCTTCAAGATGCTTTCAATCTAGGGGTCACCCACATATTCCACTGTAGTGAAATTTCATTTAGTGGAATGATTTTTTTTTGAAAATTAATGTTCTTAAGTTATGTTGCCATATTGCAGGGACCTTGGAAACTAGAGCAGTGAGAAATACTCCCTGTAAAGGGGGAAGGCAATTTCCACATTGATGAGAGTGAAGGCTGCAGCTTGAGGTTGGGGCTGGAGGCTTTGTGAGGGGTGTTTGAAGCTGTGGATCTCAGAGCTAAGAAGCAGTCAGGTGAGCCTGGGGTGACTGCCCTTGAGCATCAAGATTGTTCATGCTGACCCTGGCTCAGATTCAAGGCAACAGCTTTTGTTCCCATGGATGTTCCCCAGATAAAAACTTGCCTTTTGTTTCATCTCTTGTGCTCTTTTTCCATATCCTTAGTTTTTCAGACAACTAGGTTACTACTGGTATCATAGTTACCACTCATGGTAAGTTCTTGAGTGTCTGTGTAAAAATCTTTCATCTGAAAAAGTAGAAGTTCTGGGGCAAGAGGCACCTCTTACAAGGCTTAGGTTTCAGCGGCAGAGCCTGTGAGATACCTGTGTTCTTTCTGCTGCTTGTGCTCACGTTGTCTGTGGTGGTGTCCTTTCTCTTTCTCTTTTAGTATTTTAGCCTAGAAACCAGCAGGGTTCCTCCATTTGCTCTCTCATCCTCTGGTTCTTACCTGAGTGTGGAAGTCTCCACTCTGCTGGTAGACCTCGCAGTGGTGCTGAGCTGGGTCACTTCAGCCGTGAAAGGCCAACTGTACTGTCAGGGCTGGGGGACAGTTGTGTCTCTGTGAAGGTACTGGGTACAGTGACAGCAGGAAGTGCAGCAACTGCAGTGAGAACTGAAATGGGTTTCACAGACTCTGGTGTTGCCTGTGATGTATTCTCCCTCCCTGGCTCTTACATCTCAAAAAAGGAAAGTAGCCACCCTTGAAACATCTGAAGGCTGCATGCCAAGAATTCATGCAGTACTCCTGAAACAGGATATTACTGAAGCATTTTTCTCAAGCAGAAACAGATGTAGTTCCCTGTTACTGTTGCCAGTGTTAGTAGAGCCTTAAAATTACCTGATAGCAGTGTGCCCTTAAATGTACTCTCCCCTCCCAGACACATACACAAGTGTTTTATTTTATTTTTTGGCAGAGCCTCGTTGCTTGATTTTGGGGGGAAGTTAGCCTGGGATTCCTGATGACAGTAATAGGTTCTCCGTGGGTT